ATATAATAATAAATAATTATTTTACTTTATTAACTGAATAAAAAAAAAATGCTCCAATATATTTTTGTATGCAGGCCAAAGTTACTCAACAACGAGGTCAATTCGTTCCCTTTTTATTAAGTAACTACATTTTTATGACACAAGGTCATGTAGGTACGATATCTAACAACAAAAACGAAAATATTAGGAGTTATTGAAACTGTCTGTTCTTGCAGTTTAATGCAAACTAAAAAAAAAAAGCAAGAAGACTTACACTTTCGACCTGGTCAATTGAATCTTTTGTAGCATATAACTAATTAATAATAATATTTATGGTTATTAATTATTCCCCAAAAACCTTCACCCCAAAATTGCTTGTCTTATTTATCAATAATAACTATAATTTTGTATACTTAATATAGCACTTTATTAGATCATCAAAATTGGTTTTACCGTTACATACATACGTATTTAGTTCGTTATTTATCTGACATGTTTTTCATTAAGAAACATTGTATTTTCCATTGAACAAAATATTCAAAGAATAAATATTAACTAATGCAGGAATTATGAAAGCAATGGAATGCCTTAATCATAAAAATATACCTAGAATTACTTACATATATATAGGAAAGTAATACCACACAGGTGCGTTGAGAAATATCCAGCATTAGTAGCTAGGGGAGGGGGTGAAACACTCAAAAGTTTTTTAAATTTATTTTTATTAATTTTGTTTTTTTTTTTCTTTGTCAACAAATAGTTAGAGACGGTGACACGGTGAAGCACTACCGAATTAGACAATTGGACGAGGGTGGATTCTTTATAGCCAGACGAACAACGTTTCGAACTTTACAAGAGCTTGTTGAACATTACAGTAAGGACGCTGATGGCCTTTGTGTAAACCTATGCAAGCCGTGTGTTCAGGTAGGTTTCTATTCATTTTATTTTATAATAGTAAAGTAGTTATTTGAAGGAAAGATATATATATTGTTGTTTTTTTTTGTCAGCTTCTGTGCAACTGGTTGTTGTATTTATTAACTGATAATGTGCGGAAGATTTTGATTAATTTTAAATTCTTCTTTCTTTGCTGATTGAAGAATCCTGCAATGGAGGTATGTTTTTCTTTCAAGTTTGAATGTATTAGAAGCTTTTTTTTTCGTGTTTACTATAATACTATACTTAATTTAGAGTTTATTACACTGGATATTCGACGTTTTCAGAGTTTTCTGTTTATAAAAAAATGATTCGTTATTTATTATGTTATGGTATGTATGATGCATATTATCACGCCTACAGAACGCAAATATGTATTGTGTGTTGTCTACAGTGATACTCGTTATGAAAACAGCATTTCTTGCCTTTGTGCTTCAGGGTTTTAAACAATGAAATTTGTACACTTATCTCTCAAAAAAGTTATTTAGTAAAGTAGATACTAAAATATTCAATCATATTTTTAACATTAACACTGAAATACTATTTTCAAAGCGGATAGTATATCAGGCAACACACAATACAATTTAGCACTTCGCAAAAAATAAATATGCTAAATATAATATTTATTTATTTTTTACCATANGAAGATATAGCTACAGCGGGTATTCGGGTTTTTACTTTTTTTTTTAGTAAATGTTTGGGTTACATTTAAATTTGAATTTCTACAAATGACTTGAGCGACAAGGTACGCCTACATGTGTAAAAATATGCAAACACTTGCAGACGGTCTCGTCATATTTGTAAGAATTTGAGCTACTAACTAACTAACAAAACTCTCCAATAGTTTCTCCATAACTATAACCTCGTTTAACAATGTAGTAGTTACTGCAATATGAGTTATATTGAGGATTTTTTTATTATAATGTATGCTATCGACAAACTCAGTGTGACCATGGGAAGACCGTAAACTTTGGTAACCTTGCTTATTTTGTTTTATTCGTAATAACAATTGCATTGTGAACATTGACTTTGGTAAAAATGGGTCATGCATCAGCTATAAAAAAGAATATCGGTACTAATAAGTGATAAGGTAACTGTATAGCAGGTCTGTTGTTGGCTGGCGTTCCATTTACAATATTTAAAAAAAAAATGCCGTTTTCAATAATAATTAGCAGCCATTCGGTACACCTTGAATTATACTTCGTTATTATTTAAATTTATAATTAACTGGGTATCAATTAATTATTTACGATAGAATTAAAAAAAAAAGTTAGGAAGGCTTTTACGTTATAGAATGAAAAAAAGTGCCCAATTTTAAAAATACACTACAAATGAACAGTATTTGTTGATGTGAACAATTGCTGTTTTCTCGATTAGGTACTACAACTGATGTATAGTGATTTTATAGATAAAAAAAAATTATTTTTTATTTTTATAACACCTTATTACGGTTTATAAATAATTTAATGTATTATGTGTATGTTTGACTTTACAACAGCAGAGTTACGTATTGTTTGGTAGATTAAGGATGTCGTACCATTTTTGTAGTTCCGTCAGACAATGACAGTCACTTAAGCTGATAATTAATCTTGGACCACCATAGTCATCGAATCGACTCTTTATAAACTTAATTAATGACTCTTACATATTTGAAAATACAACAAATGCGGTACTCAAATATTAAAATAGGTTGCATAAAAATGTTAAAAAAGTTATTGATTTTGCAATAAACGAACCTGCGTCAGTAAGTTCTTACAAATCTTTTATAGCTTTATATGAGTAAGAAAAGCTGGTTTTATTAATAACTTTTTCGAGTAACTGAATGCATATATGTAATATTCTACGAAAAGTAAAAAAAAATCATTCCACGTAAAACATTTTTTATAATGTTCTACATAGTGTGTAAATTTTGTTTTTCTTTTTCGTTTTCACTTATCGTTGGTTTTATAAAAAATTGTTTATATTCAACCGATACAATTGTTGCAGATGGTATTTCCGAAAGATAAAGCGTATGGAAGCGGAAAAAAAATTGCTTCTACCGGAAAACGACCATGGTGCTTTCTTAATAAGAGATTCTGAAAGTAGACATAATGATTATTCTTTATCAGGTATGTATGTACATCACTAAGTGGGTGTTTTTTATTTTTAATATTTTCTAAATACGAAACGTTCAGTTAAAAAAGTCCCAATTTTATTTATTCATATTATATATTACTATTATACTTACTTAGACATTGTTTTTTATTTTGTATGCAATATTCTAGTTTAATGTGCTTTTAATTAACCAAAGCATTAAAAAGAAATACCGTTACACCGTAAAAAAGTAACAAAATTGTTTTTTATCTTTTGGTTTTTCCTTTTATTTGACCTTCTTAAATTAATTGCCGCAAAATTTATTGAACCAGAAGTTAAAAACCCTTCTGATTTTATTCGNTAAAGTGAGCATACCTTGGAATTTTTTAATAGGCATTTTCTGAAATTGCTCTTTTTAAATTAAATTTATCTTTGTATAAAACATCTTAAAAGAAAGCCAAAACCAAAACTTTAATTTCTCACTCTGTTATACGTACTGCCTATTTTTATTTTTATTTTTTTACTTTGCTTTACACACTTATTGTGGGCCTTATATTCTAGTTAGACCTGCTTTCTATCTCATCATTAAGATTATTATTTTTTCTATTAAACAAATCCTTAGCAATCTACCATTTCCCGTACCTAATACATATTCCTCCTATCTGTACTAGCTCTTCTCATCATCCCTTCATTAAACTGCTTTCTGGCCTTTATGTGCTTTGAAAATATAAATTCTGAATATTTAGATTCTTTCACAATTTTGAGGTTTTCACCTTCAAGATTCTGACACTTTTATTTACAATTATTCATTTATGTAGGAGGACGAGTATGAAGCAAGGGTGGGTGCTAGATTTCCCATAAAATGGACCGCTCCAGAAGCTGCCAATTATAGTAAATTTTCTATAAAGTCTGATGTATGGTCTTTCGGAATCTTACTAACAGAACTTGTTACATATGGGAGGATTCCCTATCCTGGTAATTAAATAAATTTGATTTGTTTTCTTGATCAATTTCAAATTAATGTTAATTTTTCAGGCATGACGAATGCCGAAGTCCTCCATCAAGTGGAGCACGGTTATCGTATGCCCTGTCCCCCCAATTGTCCCACAACTCTTTACGACATAATGCTCGAGTGCTGGCACCGCGATCCAATGAAGAGACCCACGTTCGAAACGTTGCAATGGAAACTTGAAGACTTTTTCACTTTGGAAGGATCGGAATATAAAGAAGCGTCAGGTTACTGAGGTCGTGCCCACCCCCCTGCTGATTGGCTGCGCAACACGATCGACTTGCACTACCATTAGAAGGGGAGGTGGTTGTTCTCGTATATCTTTAAATTAAGGTCAAAATTTAGTAATTAATATCTTCTTCCTTTCCTTTTTTTATTTTTACAATTCCTTCTTGGAATGCCATAAGTACATACATACAACAGCATTTATTACTTTATAATTATTTTTCTTATGTTGTAGTATAATTTAAAAGGTACTCTACAGCTCAATTCTTCTTGTATAAGATTTTGTACCTGTTTGCTACGAAGAAAGGAGGAGAAAAGAAAAAACTACAACATTAACAGTAGTAGTTTAACGGCGACGACGTATAATCATTAATTTTTTAAGATTGTTAAGTTTTAACAGTTTAATAATCCTCCTACGTGTCCGTTATATTAAATTTAAAAGTCTTATGGCCTTTGAAGGGCGTTTTTTCATCTTTGTACGGATGGGCTCGGATAGCGCTTCTTTTGTCCTTTTAAAGTACCGTACTTGAATATTATATTATTCAATAACAATTTTATCCTTGTTGCAATGCACAAACGATACACCTATTTTTTATCCGTATCATATACAAAATACGATACATAAAATATATATGTATAAAATTTTTAATTAATTTCATGCTTCACGTATATTTCTATAGAAAAAAAAAAGAAATGATACTAGTAAGCGTAACATTCCTAATTAACCAATGGAAAACGTATTGTGCTCTTTTAAATAATAAATACAAGTGTCGAAATAACGCAAAAATGCTATTGCTAAGGCTAGATTGTACATTATTGTACTAAAATACTGTTTATATACTGTAATAGGCACAATTTTTAATATTTTTTGTAAAGTAGTTTTAATTTAATTAAAAGTATAGTTAAACTTTAACGTTTTATCTTAAATCCTTAATTATTAGTAGTTTTACTAGAAACTTCCGATACCTCACTAGACGGTTCTCACTCACTTGATGATTTATTCAAATTTATATAAATGCGACCTGCACAAACTACTGTTAAATAGTTATTAAGTTGATATTGAAAAAAGTAGCTTTGTTTCCCACTAGTAAATATTTTAAATTTCGGCGGGCTAATAAATTGGTATGTTGCCATCTACTGGTATTTGCTGTAACTCAAGTATTTCACGTAATCATAGAGTTAATATAATAATGTCTCCTTTAATTTTGTTTTAAACAATAAAAATTAATTCGAGCGCACCATCTATTGGCAAAGTGTAAATAATTGAATAATGTATAACGGAAGCTAGATTTAATTAATAATTAAACCTTATGATTCCAAAATATATGCTTTGTAGCTCGATTCTATGATAAGTATAAATATCCGCTTATCTATGGTTTCAACGGCTTTTTTAATTTTATAACCCAACTTTTACTCATAACAACATGAACATAACCATATAATTCTGCATACTGTACTTGTTATCTGCTAACTGTTTTATAAAGCCATCAAACTAATATTTTGTAATTGTTATTGTTAAGTTCTTCTTTTGTCTTAAGTGTAGTGTTATTAATGGCTAAATTAGTGAAAAAACCTAGAAAAAATGGATATAAGTTGCCTGATCCCTTACCATTAGGCGAGATATTGGAAGACATTAACAAAAAAAAGTGGATATTAGGACCGTCTATAGGAAAAGGTGGTTTTGGAGAAATATATTCAGCAAGAGAGTATACGGAATCTTCTAAACCATCAAAACAGTATCCTTATGTTATTAAAATTGTATGTTTTGCTAAAGAACAATTCTATTGTTACTTATTGTGATACAACCTGAATTTTTTTCAGGAACCTCATGCTAACGGTCCCCTTTTTGTAGAAATGCATTTTTATATGCGTAATGCAAAGCCAGATGAAGGTATATATATATATTCATTAGTTAAATTCTTTTAAGTAATGCACAGTTTTAGTCGACGCTTTTCGATTGTCAAAAAAAATGCACCACTTTGGCATGCCCAAGTACATCGCATCAGGCTCACATCAACATGACAAACAGAAGTACCGATTTTTAGTAATGGAAAAGTTTGGTAGTGATATATGGAAGCTGTTCCTTGAAAACAACCGTAAATTCCCTCCAGTTACAGTTTTTAAATTAGGCATTCAAATAGTAAGTGTTTACTAGAATCCAAAATGTTTAATGTATTGTTTTTTATTTCTATTTGCAGTTAGATGTTTTAGAATATATTCACAGCAAAGGCTATGTACATGCTGATATAAAAGGGGCTAATATTCTACTTGGGGAAGATTCCAAAAACCCTAAACAAGTCTATTTGGTTGATTTTGGTTTGGCTTCACACTTTTCTTCACTATTGAAACCAGATCCCAAAAAGGCTCACAATGGAACAATTGAATATACTAGTCGTGATGCCCATTTAGGAGGTGACAAAATAAAAACTTCTCTTTTAGATTAATTAATCTATCAACAATCATTTATAGTTCAAACTAGAAGGGGAGATTTAGAAATTCTAGCATATAATTTAATTCAGTGGTTAGGATGTCGTTTACCATGGGAAGAAAATTTAGACCCAGCCTCTGTTCAAAATAGCAAAAACCAATACATGAATGACATTGAACAGTTTTTGAAGACATGTTTTAAAAATGAAAAAGTACCAAGTAAGGATTTCAATTGATTTATTTGTTTCTTTCTTTCTTTTTTATTATGCATTATAATGTGCAATTTCAGAAACAGTTGCAAACATATTGAAATATATAACTTCTCTAGAAGTAGGTGATACACCAGATTATGAACATTTAAGAAAAATATTAGCTGATGGTATTAAAGCTGAAAGTGGATCTCTAAAAGATCCTCTAGAATTTAACTTAAGTAAAAAGACTCCAGTTAAAAGGAAAGCTGCAAGAATTTCTGGCTCTAACAGCAGCAATGTAGGAGAAAAAAAAGGAAATGATAAAGTAGTATCTAAACTGGTTAGAAAAAACACAAAAAAAGTAAGATCTGCAAAGCCCAAGGAAGAGAAATCGGCAACGGAAGATCTCAATGGGAGCCAAATATTAACCCAAGAAATGAAAAGACTGAAAGAAAAAATTGAAATGAAAAAGGCAAATAAAAAAACAAAGGTAACTAAAGTAAATCATGGTAGGAATTTACGTAGCAGTAATGGTCATGAAGATAATTAAACTATTCTTTATTTAAAACTTATCACTATTTTAAAAACTTAAAATATTCATGGAAGGCTGAATCTTTACTATTGACGAATATTATTCCTTATTAATGGTTTTTTCAGTATTTTGCAAATATTAATTAAAATCAAGTTAGAATTAATATGTACTGTTACTTTATTTCCGTAAATAATAAATTGTATAAATATATAAGCTAAAATTTGATTTCCTTTGCAGTATTTGCAGTAAATAATCCATTTTTATTTATTAAAAACTTTTAAAGCGATTAAATGAGCATAAGAACTTTAAAGGCCGAGTGCTATTATAAATATCTATAACGGTATTATCTATGATTATAACCTAGAAAAGTACAATTAATGAGTTAAGTAATTGTTTATTTTAAAATATATTAGGGAATAATGGTCCAGTTGGTAAATAAGGTACTGAAAGTTTCAAAAAGTAAATTTATGAAGTATGGAGTTCCTTTTTTAATAGCCATTATTGGTGGTTCCTTTGGCCTGAAAGAATTTACTCAAATTAAGTACGATTATGCAAAAGTGAAACCTATTGATACAGGCGAGCTTAAAAAGTTAGGGGTAGACATGAAGAAACCCGGAGAAGTAACTTTAGAGACAGAGTATGAAAAAATTAAAGATATGGATATCGATAATTGGGAGCAAGTGAGGGGACCGCGACCGTGGGAAGAGTCGGTTCAAAATTGATTTAAAAGTTATAATTGTAAATATTTATATTTACCTGTAAATAGTAAATTTTTAAAGTTTTTGTTTAATATAAAGGTATTAAGATTCTACTTTAATTATCATTTAAATTTGGGGTTATGTTTTATATTATTTTGGTTATGGAGTCATAGACATAAATAATAATAACAATCGTAGAAAACTTACTACAATAATTTCCGAACTTTTTCATAGTTATTGTAGGTGGCGCAACATGTCTTGTGAAGTACCAAATTAAAATTGGAATTATTCATAGAGTTGACTAGGTGTCGCGGTATGTCTTTTACCAATAGAAGGTTACCAAATTATCATTACAGATGTCTCTCGAGACGACCATTTTGTTTTTTAAATACTGTTGTTTATTGCGAATTATTTCGGAGAAGTACGTCGGTGGTGTAGGATGTTTTGTTACATTAAATGTTTTTGTGAATTGTTTCATGTAATGATGTGATTTGTGATTGTAAACTGGTACTTATAATATAGTTACAAAATGTTGTTACCCATATCCGTAAATGGTCTGCTGATAATTAATGGTGAGTTTTTAACAATTATTTGTTTGAACTCCCTCGTGTGATTTTATATTATTTTAACCTATTATTGTTCATAATTAACTACTCGTGTTACTAATGCCGGTAAGGGAGGCTGATTGTATTTATAAGGAAGTAATTAATTATAAAAGGATACTTGCGTTATAAGGATAAGTTTGAAAATTAATTAATAGTTGTATTTCCAAATACATAAATAGGTATAATTTAAATTATAGTACATAATACTTCGTACAGCGAAAACAATATGGGCGACAAAAATAACAATATTTAACATATTAATCGAAAATTAATTTTTTGCATAAGGTAACAGTTTAACAAAAATGAAAAACAGGAAAACCAAAATAGATTTATATAAATATTTTAATATGTTATACAAATTGCTCTTTGTTCTGTCTTACTGTTCCCATTTTCAATTGTTTTTGTTTTTTACTATTTACCTATATGAAAGCATAATCTAATTAGATCGTATTTTTTTCTATTTTGTTTTTGTTGTCTAGTAATTGATCACATTCAAGTTACCAAAATCGTAATTCTTATCATTTCCTAATTAATTATTATTATCTATGTAATAGTATTCATAAGGCTGATGACTATAAGATTAGTGTTGTCAGAACTTAGAATTAGACGAAATAGTGAAAATAATTTTACGTTAAGTACGTTTAGGTACATTACTCTCTAGATCGACGAAAGACTAAGTTGCATTTTATAAAAAGTAAACATGAAATGCTAACAGGAACTACTAGCATGCTTTTGACTTGTACCGATGTAATTTAAGGACAGTTTTCCCCAGTCCCCCCTTCAAAATTGCTCCAGCTTCCTCTGCACTTGCATTTTCTAAATTGTGATCGTTCATTGATACGATTAAATCCCCTTTCGCTATCTTTCCATCTGTATCAGCCAAACCTCCACATAACTACGTGGGAAATTAAGGAAGAAAATGTTTGTTTTGAGTATCTATCTCCCTGTCTGTACAATTTAACTTACAATTTCGGTAATGTAAACACCTTTGGCGGCTTCCCTAGCAGTAACACTCAGTCCCAAACCTTTCCCTGGCTTTTTCGCTAACTCCACATCCACCGTTGTATACTCCACGGTTTCTGGCCGATAGACGATAAGTTTGATCTAAATCGTTAAAAATTGTTTCAAGAAAAACGTAAAAATTTGCAGTCCATAAAAATAATAAAACTTACTTTGGGTAAAATTTGTCGAAGAATTTGAGATGCACCGGTATGTGTGACATCTTTTAACGATGATCCATTTACGTCTATAATTTGATCCCCAGGTTGCAGTCTTGCATCTTTTGCAGCAGCACCGCCTTTGTAAACATCCACCAACACGATAGCGTTCTAAAACATAATCCATTTGACACTCCTTCATAATTTCAAATATCAACTTTTTTTAACTTACTGTAGTTTGAGTATCAGTTCCTCCAACGAAAGACAATCCTAGAGCTTTATTTTCGGCATTTATTTCAATAGTAACTTCTTTGCCAGGTTTTACAGGACAGGTTGCGGGGTCCGCCGGAGGTTCTGTTTACGATTTGCAGTAATTAAAAAAATAAGTTTTTATTTTTTGGTACAAACACAAATTACCAGGCTCGGCAGGTTTCTGTTTTGCGGCGTCCTCAACGTTTCCTTTTGGAGCACCGTCTTCTTGTTTTTTACTGGGGTTGGACACAACCAAAGTCACAACACCTTCTGTTTGCTTCAATAAAGTTGCAGCCTAAAATGGGAACTTTTTAATTTTTCAGTTTAGGCCCGTTATGATTTTATGGGTGACAATAGTGATGTGTATTGTGCTGGTAATCGTTTATTTGCCTCTTAAAAAATGCGTACTTTTTGTCTCCTAAAGTTTTTCGAGTTCATACGCATGTTTGTGCATCGTTTATTTTCGCCAAAGATGTAGGATAACTCCCATTAATTTGCTCTAATATTAGCTTTCCTAACATTAATTTTAAATAAGCATTTGGTTTTCAGAAAGTTTTTTCGCGGAAAAGTACCTATCTTTTTTATAGAGAAATTGATCGTAAAAGTTTCTGTAGTTGGAAAAAAAGATATACTGTATGCCTTCGTAAGAAAAAAAGGGCCAAGGTGTGTTAAAATTTTATATTGTTAATTTCTGTGGTGGCATCTTCTACTACATTTTCAGGTGAATAAATTTATTTAATGATAATCAATAATAAATTACTTGTGTTTAATAGGCGGAAAAGCCACAGCCTGAAGGATTATCACATCGCACAAGAGACCAATGGGAGATAGACAGATCCTCTTTGAAATTTGTGCGGAAATTGGGACACGGGCAGTTTGGGGAAGTCTGGGAAGGAATGTGGAACAATACGACCCCCGTAGCCATAAAAACGTTGAAGCCAGGCACAATGGACCCCAAAGACTTCTTAGCTGAAGCCCAAATAATGAAAAAACTTAGACACACCAATTTAATTCAATTATATGCCGTGTGTACCATGGAAGAACCCATTTATATCATAACTGAATTGATGAAGAACGGATCTCTGTTGGAATTTTTACAAGGGAAAGGAAAAATACTGAAATTACCACAGCTAGTCGACATGGCAGCTCAAATAGCTGCCGGAATGGCCTATTTGGAATCACAGAATTATATACACAGAGACTTGGCTGCAAGGAACGTTCTTGTGGCCGATTCTAATATAGTGAAGATTGCAGACTTTGGTCTTGCTCGTCTTATTAAAGTGAGCATACCTTGGAATTTTTTAATAGGCATTTTCTGAAATTGCTCTTTTTAAATTAAATTTATCTTTGTATAAAACATCTTAAAAGAAAGCCAAAACCAAAACTTTAATTTCTCACTCTGTTATACGTACTGCCTATTTTTATTTTTATTTTTTTACTTTGCTTTACACACTTATTGTGGGCCTTATATTCTAGTTAGACCTGCTTTCTATCTCATCATTAAGATTATTATTTTTTCTATTAAACAAATCCTTAGCAATCTACCATTTCCCGTACCTAATACATATTCCTCCTATCTGTACTAGCTCTTCTCATCATCCCTTCATTAAACTGCTTTCTGGCCTTTATGTGCTTTGAAAATATAAATTCTGAATATTTAGATTCTTTCACAATTTTGAGGTTTTCACCTTCAAGATTCTGACACTTTTATTTACAATTATTCATTTATGTAGGAGGACGAGTATGAAGCAAGGGTGGGTGCTAGATTTCCCATAAAATGGACCGCTCCAGAAGCTGCCAATTATAGTAAATTTTCTATAAAGTCTGATGTATGGTCTTTCGGAATCTTACTAACAGAACTTGTTACATATGGGAGGATTCCCTATCCTGGTAATTAAATAAATTTGATTTGTTTTCTTGATCAATTTCAAATTAATGTTAATTTTTCAGGCATGACGAATGCCGAAGTCCTCCATCAAGTGGAGCACGGTTATCGTATGCCCTGTCCCCCCAATTGTCCCACAACTCTTTACGACATAATGCTCGAGTGCTGGCACCGCGATCCAATGAAGAGACCCACGTTCGAAACGTTGCAATGGAAACTTGAAGACTTTTTCACTTTGGAAGGATCGGAATATAAAGAAGCGTCAGGTTACTGAGGTCGTGCCCACCCCCCTGCTGATTGGCTGCGCAACACGATCGACTTGCACTACCATTAGAAGGGGAGGTGGTTGTTCTCGTATATCTTTAAATTAAGGTCAAAATTTAGTAATTAATATCTTCTTCCTTTCCTTTTTTTATTTTTACAATTCCTTCTTGGAATGCCATAAGTACATACATACAACAGCATTTATTACTTTATAATTATTTTTCTTATGTTGTAGTATAATTTAAAAGGTACTCTACAGCTCAATTCTTCTTGTATAAGATTTTGTACCTGTTTGCTACGAAGAAAGGAGGAGAAAAGAAAAAACTACAACATTAACAGTAGTAGTTTAACGGCGACGACGTATAATCATTAATTTTTTAAGATTGTTAAGTTTTAACAGTTTAATAATCCTCCTACGTGTCCGTTATATTAAATTTAAAAGTCTTATGGCCTTTGAAGGGCGTTTTTTCATCTTTGTACGGATGGGCTCGGATAGCGCTTCTTTTGTCCTTTTAAAGTACCGTACTTGAATATTATATTATTCAATAACAATTTTATCCTTGTTGCAATGCACAAACGATACACCTATTTTTTATCCGTATCATATACAAAATACGATACATAAAATGTAAAGTAGTTTTAATTTAATTAAAAGTATAGTTAAACTTTAACGTTTTATCTTAAATCCTTAATTATTAGTAGTTTTACTAGAAACTTCCGATACCTCACTAGACGGTTCTCACTCACTTGATGATTTATTCAAATTTATATAAATGCGACCTGCACAAACTACTGTTAAATAGTTATTAAGTTGATATTGAAAAAAGTAGCTTTGTTTCCCACTAGTAAATATTTTAAATTTCGGCGGGCTAATAAATTGGTATGTTGCCATCTACTGGTATTTGCTGTAACTCAAGTATTTCACGTAATCATAGAGTTAATATAATAATGTCTCCTTTAATTTTGTTTTAAACAATAAAAATTAATTCGAGCGCACCATCTATTGGCAAAGTGTAAATAATTGAATAATGTATAACGGAAGCTAGATTTAATTAATAATTAAACCTTATGATTCCAAAATATATGCTTTGTAGCTCGATTCTATGATAAGTATAAATATCCGCTTATCTATGGTTTCAACGGCTTTTTTAATTTTATAACCCAACTTTTACTCATAACAACATGAACATAACCATATAATTCTGCATACTGTACTTGTTATCTGCTAACTGTTTTATAAAGCCATCAAACTAATATTTTGTAATTGTTATTGTTAAGTTCTTCTTTTGTCTTAAGTGTAGTGTTATTAATGGCTAAATTAGTGAAAAAACCTAGAAAAAATGGATATAAGTTGCCTGATCCCTTACCATTAGGCGAGATATTGGAAGACATTAACAAAAAAAAGTGGATATTAGGACCGTCTATAGGAAAAGGTGGTTTTGGAGAAATATATTCAGCAAGAGAGTATACGGAATCTTCTAAACCATCAAAACAGTATCCTTATGTTATTAAAATTGTATGTTTTGCTAAAGAACAATTCTATTGTTACTTATTGTGATACAACCTGAATTTTTTTCAGGAACCTCATCAGGTTTAATATTTAAATGAACATGATAATTGCCTTAAATTAGAACATATCAAAAACACCAAATTTTCCATTAATGTGTTTTTAATATTGTTTTCAAATAACCGACTATGAGGAAGTTGTAGTAAATTAAAAGGATTTTTCTACAATATATACTGTATGCCTTCGTAAGAAAAAAAGGGCCAAGGTGTGTTAAAATTTTATATTGTTAATTTCTGTGGTGGCATCTTCTACTACATTTTCAGGTGAATAAATTTATTTAATGATAATCAATAATAAATTACTTGTGTTTAATAGGCGGAAAAGCCACAGCCTGAAGGATTATCACATCGCACAAGAGACCAATGGGAGATAGACAGATCCTCTTTGAAATTTGTGCGGAAATTGGGACACGGGCAGTTTGGGGAAGTCTGGGAAGGAATGTGGAACAATACGACCCCCGTAGCCATAAAAACGTTGAAGCCAGGCACAATGGACCCCAAAGACTTCTTAGCTGAAGCCCAAATAATGAAAAAACTTAGACACACCAATTTAATTCAATTATATGCCGTGTGTACCATGGAAGAACCCATTTATATCATAACTGAATTGATGAAGAACGGATCTCTGTTGGAATTTTTACAAGGGAAAGGAAAAATACTGAAATTACCACAGCTAGTCGACATGGCAGCTCAAATAGCTGCCGGAATGGCCTATTTGGAATCACAGAATTATATACACAGAGACTTGGCTGCAAGGAACGTNAGTAATTGTTTATTTTAAAATATATTAGGGAATAATGGTCCAGTTGGTAAATAAGGTACTGAAAGTTTCAAAAAGTAAATTTATGAAGTATGGAGTTCCTTTTTTAATAGCCATTATTGGTGGTTCCTTTGGCCTGAAAGAATTTACTCAAATTAAGTACGATTATGCAAAAGTGAAACCTATTGATACAGGCGAGCTTAAAAAGTTAGGGGTAGACATGAAGAAACCCGGAGAAGTAACTTTAGAGACAGAGTATGAAAAAATTAAAGATATGGATATCGATAATTGGGAGCAAGTGAGGGGACCGCGACCGTGGGAAGAGTCGGTTCAAAATTGATTTAAAAGTTATAATTGTAAATATTTATATTTACCTGTAAATAGTAAATTTTTAAAGTTTTTGTTTAATATAAAGGTATTAAGATTCTACTTTAATTATCATTTAAATTTGGGGTTATGTTTTATATTATTTTGGTTATGGAGTCATAGACATAAATAATAATAACAATCGTAGAAAACTTACTATTCTCACTCACTTGATGATTTATTCAAATTTATATAAATGCGACCTGCACAAACTACTGTTAAATAGTTATTAAGTTGATATTGAAAAAAGTAGCTTTGTTTCCCACTAGTAAATATTTTAAATTTCGGCGGGCTAATAAATTGGTATGTTGCCATCTACTGGTATTTGCTGTAACTCAAGTATTTCACGTAATCATAGAGTTAATATAATAATGTCTCCTTTAATTTTGTTTTAAACAATAAAAATTAATTCGAGCGCACCATCTATTGGCAAAGTGTAAATAATTGAATAATGTATAACGGAAGCTAGATTTAATTAATAATTAAACCTTATGATTACAAAATATATGCTTTGTAGCTCGATTCTATGATAAGTATAAATATCCGCTTATCTATGGTTTCAACGGCTTTTTTAATTTTATAACCCAACTTTTACTCATAACAACATGAACATAACCATATAATTCTGCATACTGTACTTGTTATCTGCTAACTGTTTTATAAAGCCATCAAACTAATATTTTGTAATTGTTATTGTTAAGTTCTTCTTTTGTCTTAAGTGTAGTGTTATTAATGGCTAAATTAGTGAAAAAACCTAGAAAAAATGGATATAAGTTGCCTGATCCCTTACCATTAGGCGAGATATTGGAAGACATTAACAAAAAAAAGTGGATATTAGGACCGTCTATAGGAAAAGGTGGTTTTGGAGAAATATATTCAGCAAGAGAGTATACGGAATCTTCTAAACCATCAAAACAGTATCCTTATGTTATTAAAATTGTATGTTTTGCTAAAGAACAATTCTATTGTTACTTATTGTGATACAACCTGAATTTTTTTCAGGAACCTCATGCTAACGGTCCCCTTTTTGTAGAAATGCATTTTTATATGCGTAATGCAAAGCCAGATGAAGGTATATATATATATTCATTAGTTAAATTCTTTTAAGTAATGCACAGTTTTAGTCGACGCTTTTCGATTGTCAAAAAAAATGCACCACTTTGGCATGCCCAAGTACATCGCATCAGGCTCACATCAACATGACAAACAGAAGTACCGATTTTTAGTAATGGAAAAGTTTGGTAGTGATATATGGAAGCTGTTCCTTGAAAACAACCGTAAATTCCCTCCAGTTACAGTTTTTAAATTAGGCATTCAAATAGTAAGTGTTTACTAGAATCCAAAATGTTTAATGTATTGTTTTTTATTTCTATTTGCAGTTAGATGTTTTAGAATATATTCACAGCAAAGGCTATGTACATGCTGATATAAAAGGGGCTAATATTCTACTTGGGGAAGATTCCAAAAACCCTAAACAAGTCTATTTGGTTGATTTTGGTTTGGCTTCACACTTTTCTTCACTATTGAAACCAGATCCCAAAAAGGCTCACAATGGAACAATTGAATATACTAGTCGTGATGCCCATTTAGGAGGTGACAAAATAAAAACTTCTCTTTTAGATTAATTAATCTATCAACAATCATTTATAGTTCAAACTAGAAGGGGAGATTTAGAAATTCTAGCATATAATTTAATTCAGTGGTTAGGATGTCGTTTACCATGGGAAGAAAATTTAGACCCAGCCTCTGTTCAAAATAGCAAAAACCAATACATGAATGACATTGAACAGTTTTTGAAGACATGTTTTAAAAATGAAAAAGTACCAAGTAAGGATTTCAATTGATTTATTTGTTTCTTTCTTTCTTTTTTATTATGCATTATAATGTGCAATTTCAGAAACAGTTGCAAACATATTGAAATATATAACTTCTCTAGAAGTAGGTGATACACCAGATTATGAACATTTAAGAAAAATATTAGCTGATGGTATTAAAGCTGAAAGTGGATCTCTAAAANGGTTGCAGTCTTGCATCTTTTGCAGCAGCACCGCCTTTGTAAACATCCACCAACACGATAGCGTTCTAAAACATAATCCATTTGACACTCCTTCATAATTTCAAATATCAACTTTTTTTAACTTACTGTAGTTTGAGTATCAGTTCCTCCAACGAAAGACAATCCTAGAGCTTTATTTTCGGCATTTATTTCAATAGTAACTTCTTTGCCAGGTTTTACAGGACAGGTTGCGGGGTCCGCCGGAGGTTCTGTTTACGATTTGCAGTAATTAAAAAAATAAGTTTTTATTTTTTGGTACAAACACAAATTACCAGGCTCGGCAGGTTTCTGTTTTGCGGCGTCCTCAACGTTTCCTTTTGGAGCACCGTCTTCTTGTTTTTTACTGGGGTTGGACACAACCAAAGTCACAACACCTTCTGTTTGCTTCAATAAAGTTGCAGCCTAAAATGGGAACTTTTTAATTTTTCAGTTTAGGCCCGTTATGATTTTATGGGTGACAATAGTGATGTGTATTGTGCTGGTAATCGTTTATTTGCCTCTTAAAAAATGCGTACTTTTTGTCTCCTAAAGTTTTTCGAGTTCATACGCATGTTTGTGCATCGTTTATTTTCGCCAAAGATGTAGGATAACTCCCATTAATTTGCTCTAATATTAGCTTTCCTAACATTAATTTTAAATAAGCATTTGGTTTTCAGAAAGTTTTTTCGCGGAAAAGTACCTATCTTTTTTATAGAGAAATTGATCGTAAAAGTTTCTGTAGTTGGAAAAGAAGTTAAAAGTTCTTTTTTATGATTAAAATATATGTAGGTAAATGCTACTAATTACTTACTGCATTATAATTTGAGCCAACCAGTGTATCTTTGTTGACCGCTAGAATCATTTCGCCAATTTCAAGTCCAGCCTTCGAAAATAATAACAAACAAAACGGTTAGAAAACACGACTATTAAAGAAAGACAAGACAGAACGTGGTCGGAAGCAATCAAATTTTGATTCTTCGGATAAGGCACTTACTTTTTCGGCTGCACTCCCTTCTTGGATATCGGATATAAAAATTCCTTGTCCAACGTCTGAATGTTTGCCCTCGATTATCATTATCCCTAAGCTTTGGGTGCCCTGCGTGAAAGCGAAAATTCACACACGTGCTGGTTTTGTGTATTTTTTCTGTTACGAATCGTAGGTGCAAATTGATACACACAAACAGTAAAAGTTGCGTTTTTAGTGCGTTATAAATAAACAAAGGAAGCAAAAAAAATATGTCGCAGCTTTGTAATTTCTAATAACCACTTTTTTGAAAAGTTTAACTGAAAGTATTTTCGAGAGTTTTGGCTTTGTTTATTGATGTTTACACCATCATGTTTTTCTTACGCTATTGGGTATGGTAACAATAAAATTGCTATTAATCGGGTTGAGAATAAATGAAAATAATTTTAAATTTACAATATTTAGGCGCCGGAAAATCATGCAGGCGGAAAAATGTACAGTTAATCTAGTAGAAGTAGGTGTATTACAGAACTTGAATGTTTTTTTAGAAATCGGAAAATATCGAAAATTAATAATGCATATTTATATTTAATTACTTGCGCAAAACGCTTACCTTTTTTATACTAATGACCCGAATATTAGGGAAATTAGCATATTTTTCTTCGGGAGTCTGAAACCAAAATAACTCCCTTTATAAAAAAACATTTACTACCTTCATTTTTTTTACTTACTTCATCTTCTAATGTGACGGGAAATTGCGTTATTGGTCGTACTGCTATATCCTCTACTGCTTGCTTTCGTCTAAAATAGTGAAAATGTTTGTTTAAGAGTCCAGTAATTAATTTTACCTTCAAATTCCTAATTACCTGAGAACCAATATTTTAAATACCGGTCCTGATAGTCCTTTGATTATAGCTGAAGCATTCAGATGGCATCGTCCGTGAAGCACTGTGCCATTTACCTACGATTTAAAAAACGAATAGTGTAAAAATGTTTTTTAGGTATTTACTAAGACAGCGATAAAATTTTACTACTGTACTTTAAATTAACAGTGTCGGGGACACCATTTATTAAGCACCTCGACACATGTGTGTATATTTGAATTTTAATACACACCTAATTAAGGAAATGGTTATCGTTATTGATATTGTGCGTGGTAATGTAAATACTGTACTGTACGTACACATGTAGCTGTTACATAAACCACCATCGACTGTTAAAGATTCTATTCCTTTTTTTGTCAATTAAATTTTTTGAGCTAGTTAGCAGCGATATATTAGAAGCAGAAGAAGGAGTTAAAGGGGTATAGGTAGAGTTAGATTAGATTACAAATGAGATTGCAAAGATTCGTGTGTCCTTGTGATGATGAGGAAGATGTGGCATTGTTTTTAAAATAGTTATTAATTAGATATTACCTCTAAAATTTCATCACCGACTTGTATTTCGCCGGTACGAAAAGCTGCGCCGCTTGGATTGAGGCCACAAACAAAAACTGCCATGCAGCTTCTGTTTTTATGTCCTGCCAGACTTATTCCTAATCCTTGCTGGGTTCGTTCCAGTTGTACAATAAGTACCTTGTTACCCAAATTGGCATATTTTTTTAAAACCTTCTCTGGAATTCAATTAAATGCTTAGTTAGCGTAAACGTAACTCGATGATAAAGGGGGTAGCAAATACGTATAAACCTACTTGTTGTGTATCCAAAGTCATCCTCTTCTTCGGTATCAGCAGCTATTTCTTCTTTGGTCCTTTTTATGTTGGCTGCGCTTGCCCTGTCGATCTTTTTTAATGAAATACTATATAAATTGTAAGTCATAAGGGGGGGAGGGGGCGGTTAAGATACTTTATCTGTCTACCCAAAACCAAAATTTTAAATATTCTATAAACAGGATGGTAACTTGATGATTTTCACTAATCTGTTATTACCATTATTTTTCTATTCATAAATTATGAACTCCGTGTATATTTACTACGAAAAATTGCTCATTTTGAAATTAAATTCAAATTTTTATGAAGCCTCGCCGAAAACAAAAATCTAGTCCTTTATTTTGTTAAATTGTTCATTTTTTAAAAGTAAATGTGAAAATAACGAACCTCCTGTCCTTTTGCACTAACAGTACGACCTTCTAATTCACGTACGTCTTCTTCATCGTCACTATCGCTAGGTGATTCAAGTTTATTAGTATTTGTAGTAGCGACTTCGGACGTTTCTTCTGCGACATTGTTGTTCGTTTCTTCATGGTCTCTTTTCTTCATTGAAGATTTTAATTCTGTTACCCTGTTTTTAAATGACCCACCTGCTCCTCGTCGAACTGATTCGCGGCTAATCGCGTTTTTTTCTTCATTTATTCGATCTTTATATTTTACCGACTTCTTAGGCTTCGCTTCTTGTTTTTCGGATTCCTGCAAGGAATTATGTGTTATGTTTACCTAAATTAGTTTTTACGGTTTTGTTTTTTGATTGACTTACTATGTGATTGTGTTGTTCTTCACGACTACTGTTATTTTTATCTAAGAATGTATTTTCGGTCCGATTCGCCCTCTAAAAAAGTTAACAACAATAATTGTCAGCAGATTTTTGTTTAATTTTATCTGTACCAAAGGTACCAAAGATTGAAGAACAAATGTTAGGGGATTGGGAGCGTTTTTTATCGCTTCTATAGCCTTTTCGTGACTGGCTCTTCTCAAGTCTATTCCGCTCACATCTAATATCCTGTCGCCAGTCTTAAAAAAAAAATCAAAAAGTAATTGACGCGGTATTACGTTGAATACAATTATTTTTTTTGTTACCTTAAATTCACCTGTTCTCCCAGCTGGACTGTTTGGTACCACATTTTTTATAAAAATGCCCATTACCGAATTGCCGGATTCTTGGGAGGCATTCAGATCTACCTGAAGGTAGTTGTGTCATTTTCGTTAGCTACTTTAGTTTGAATCCCGAATTTTTGTTAAAAAAAAATCAAGTCCGCTATGTCACACGCATTTTCTAATAAGGACAAACTTTAACAGCAGAAGGCAATGTAATTATTAGATACGTTTCGTTCGCTTATAAATATCATTTGAAGTGTCCGACGTCATATCAAGTTTAAGTAGATGCAATTTCGTATTCCGAAAATCGTTAACTTCCACTTAACGATAACATGAATAAATCTAAACCTATATTGCATCGGGGTTTGTGTGTGTATCAAATATTTTTGATGAAGGTCGTTTCTATTTATCGAAACGTTTTTACATCTATTTTCTCCTCTATTTTTAGAAACACCGCGAAAATAGTGAAACTTGTATTCACTTGTTTAGCGTGAATTCAAAAAATACTAATAAACAAAAGTTAGGTACTTTGGCTGTACTTTCGAAAACAGATTACACGCATTGGCTTGGAATTTTGTATATAGGGGGTTTTCACTTCATTTATGTTATCATTTCCTATCGTTATCCTACAGTCCAATGAACCTAGTGCCCAGTGAAATTTCAATTACCCCCTTACTACCCTATCGTAACCGAATGTTAACGGAAGATTACGGTAGGAAACGACCGCACGAACGAAGTGAGTATTGTCGAGATCGAGACCTTTATCTGTCGTAAAAAGTTATTTTATTTTTAACCTTTTTGTTCTTTGTTCAGAAAATGCGTGCTTTTTCTAACAATAGTAGTGAAAGTGATCTTTTTTTTTTTGTTTGAAAAGTGTAAAAATGTTTTTTAGGTATTTACTAAGACAGCGATAAAATTTTACTACTGTACTTTAAATTAACAGTGTCGGGGACACCATTTATTAAGCACCTCGACACATGTGTGTATATTTGAATTTTAATACACACCTAATTAAGGAAATGGTTATCGTTATTGATATTGTGCGTGGTAATGTAAATACTGTACTGTACGTACACATGTAGCTGTTACATAAACCACCATCGACTGTTAAAGATTCTATTCCTTTTTTTGTCAATTAAATTTTTTGAGCTAGTTAGCAGCGATATATTAGAAGCAGAAGAAGGAGTTAAAGGGGTATAGGTAGAGTTAGATTAGATTACAAATGAGATTGCAAAGATTCGTGTGTCCTTGTGATGATGAGGAAGATGTGGCATTGTTTTTAAAATAGTTATTAATTAGATATTACCTCTAAAATTTCATCACCGACTTGTATTTCGCCGGTACGAAAAGCTGCGCCGCTTGGATTGAGGCCACAAACAAAAACTGCCATGCAGCTTCTGTTTTTATGTCCTGCCAGACTTATTCCTAATCCTTGCTGGGTTCGTTCCAGTTGTACAATAAGTACCTTGTTACCCAAATTGGCATATTTTTTTAAAACCTTCTCTGGAATTCAATTAAATGCTTAGTTAGCGTAAACGTAACTCGATGATAAAGGGGGTAGCAAATACGTATAAACCTACTTGTTGTGTATCCAAAGTCATCCTCTTCTTCGGTATCAGCAGCTATTTCTTCTTTGGTCCTTTTTATGTTGGCTGCGCTTGCCCTGTCGATCTTTTTTAATGAAATACTATATAAATTGTAAGTCATAAGGGGGGGAGGGGGCGGTTAAGATACTTTATCTGTCTACCCAAAACCAAAATTTTAAATATTCTATAAACAGGATGGTAACTTGATGATTTTCACTAATCTGTTATTACCATTATTTTTCTATTCATAAATTATGAACTCCGTGTATATTTACTACGAAAAATTGCTCATTTTGAAATTAAATTCAAATTTTTATGAAGCCTCGCCGAAAACAAAAATCTAGTCCTTTATTTTGTTAAATTGTTCATTTTTTAAAAGTAAATGTGAAAATAACGAACCTCCTGTCCTTTTGCACTAACAGTACGACCTTCTAATTCACGTACGTCTTCTTCATCGTCACTATCGCTAGGTGATTCAAGTTTATTAGTATTTGTAGTAGCGACTTCGGACGTTTCTTCTGCGACATTGTTGTTCGTTTCTTCATGGTCTCTTTTCTTCATTGAAGATTTTAATTCTGTTACCCTGTTTTTAAATGACCCACCTGCTCCTCGTCGAACTGATTCGCGGCTAATCGCGTTTTTTTCTTCATTTATTCGATCTTTATATTTTACCGACTTCTTAGGCTTCGCTTCTTGTTTTTCGGATTCCTGCAAGGAATTATGTGTTATGTTTACCTAAATTAGTTTTTACGGTTTTGTTTTTTGATTGACTTACTATGTGATTGTGTTGTTCTTCACGACTACTGTTATTTTTATCTAAGAATGTATTTTCGGTCCGATTCGCCCTCTAAAAAAGTTAACAACAATAATTGTCAGCAGATTTTTGTTTAATTTTATCTGTACCAAAGGTACCAAAGATTGAAGAACAAATGTTAGGGGATTGGGAGCGTTTTTTATCGCTTCTATAGCCTTTTCGTGACTGGCTCTTCTCAAGTCTATTCCGCTCACATCTAATATCCTGTCGCCAGTCTTAAAAAAAAAATCAAAAAGTAATTGACGCGGTATTACGTTGAATACAATTATTTTTTTTGTTACCTTAAATTCACCTGTTCTCCCAGCTGGACTGTTTGGTACCACATTTTTTATAAAAATGCCCATTACCGAATTGCCGGATTCTTGGGAGGCATTCAGATCTACCTGAAGGTAGTTGTGTCATTTTCGTTAGCTACTTTAGTTTGAATCCCGAATTTTTGTTAAAAAAAAATCAAGTCCGCTATGTCACACGCATTTTCTAATAAGGACAAACTTTAACAGCAGAAGGCAATGTAATTATTAGATACGTTTCGTTCGCTTATAAATATCATTTGAAGTGTCCGACGTCATATCAAGTTTAAGTAGATGCAATTTCGTATTCCGAAAATCGTTAACTTCCACTTAACGATAACATGAATAAATCTAAACCTATATTGCATCGGGGTTTGTGTGTGTATCAAATATTTTTGATGAAGGTCGTTTCTATTTATCGAAACGTTTTTACATCTATTTTCTCCTCTATTTTTAGAAACACCGCGAAAATAGTGAAACTTGTATTCACTTGTTTAGCGTGAATTCAAAAAATACTAATAAACAAAAGTTAGGTACTTTGGCTGTACTTTCGAAAACAGATTACACGCATTGGCTTGGAATTTTGTATATAGGGGGTTTTCACTTCATTTATGTTATCATTTCCTATCGTTATCCTACAGTCCAATGAACCTAGTGCCCAGTGAAATTTCAATTACCCCCTTACTACCCTATCGTAACCGAATGTTAACGGAAGATTACGGTAGGAAACGACCGCACGAACGAAGTGAGTATTGTCGAGATCGAGACCTTTATCTGTCGTAAAAAGTTATTTTATTTTTAACCTTTTTGTTCTTTGTTCAGAAAATGCGTGCTTTTTCTAACAATAGTAGTGAAAGTGATCTTTTTTTTTTTGTTTGAAAAGTGTAAAAATGTTTTTTAGGTATTTACTAAGACAGCGATAAAATTTTACTACTGTACTTTAAATTAACAGTGTCGGGGACACCATTTATTAAGCACCTCGACACATGTGTGTATATTTGAATTTTAATACACACCTAATTAAGGAAATGGTTATCGTTATTGATATTGTGCGTGGTAATGTAAATACTGTACTGTACGTACACATGTAGCTGTTACATAAACCACCATCGACTGTTAAAGATTCTATTCCTTTTTTTGTCAATTAAATTTTTTGAGCTAGTTAGCAGCGATATATTAGAAGCAGAAGAAGGAGTTAAAGGGGTATAGGTAGAGTTAGATTAGATTACAAATGAGATTGCAAAGATTCGTGTGTCCTTGTGATGATGAGGAAGATGTGGCATTGTTTTTAAAATAGTTATTAATTAGATATTACCTCTAAAATTTCATCACCGACTTGTATTTCGCCGGTACGAAAAGCTGCGCCGCTTGGATTGAGGCCACAAACAAAAACTGCCATGCAGCTTCTGTTTTTATGTCCTGCCAGACTTATTCCTAATCCTTGCTGGGTTCGTTCCAGTTGTACAATAAGTACCTTGTTACCCAAATTGGCATATTTTTTTAAAACCT